AATTAAGACATTCCAAAATAAGCAAAACCTGAATTTACTGTAAGCAGATCAACCATAAAAAAATACTAAAGGGAATTCTTCAGGCTGATAATAAAGGATACCAAACAGTAACTTAAATCCAAATATTTAAAGAAAAATTAACACCAATCCTTCACAAACCCTTCAAAAAAGTAAAAGGAAGAGAAACATTTGATAACTCATTTATGAGGTCAGCATTATCTTGATACCAAAGACATCACAAGAAAATAAAACTGCAGACCAATAACCTTTATGAATATAAATATAAAATTTCTCAACAGACTCAGTCCAAAAAATTCCTTAAGCTGATAACTTCAGCAAAGTCTCAGGATACAAAATCAATGGGCAAAAATCACAAGCATTCCTATATACCAATAATACAAAAGCAGAGAGTTAACTCATGAGTTATCTCCCAATCACTATTGCTACAAAGAAAATAAAACACCTAGGAATACAACTTACAAGGGACGTGAAGGACCTCTTCAAGAGAACTACAAACCACTGCTCAAGGAAATAAGAGAGGACAAAAACAAATGAAAAAACATTCCATGCTCATGGATAAGAAGAATATTGTGAAAATGGCCATATCCCCAAAGTAATTTATAGATTCAATGCTATCCCCATCAAGCTACCATTGACTTTCTTCACACAACTAGAAAAAAATGAACTACTTTAAATTTCATGTGGAACCAAAACAAGAGCCCATATAGCAAAGACAATCCTAAGCAAAAATAACAAATCTGGAGGCATCACACTACCTGACTTCAAACTATACTACAAGGCTACAGAAACCAAAACAGCATGGTACTGGTAGTAAAACAGATATATAGACCAAAGGAACAGAACAGAGACCTCAGAAATAACACCACACATCTACAACCACCTGATCTTCAACAAATCTGACAAAAACAAGCAACGGGGGAAAGATTCCGTATTTAACAAATGATGCTGGGAAAATTGGCTTGCCATATGTAGAAAACAGAAACTGGACCCCTTCCGTACACCTTACGCAAAAATTAACATGAGATGGACTAAAGACTTAAACATAAAACCTAAAACCATAAAAACCCTAGAAGAAAACCTAGGTAGTACCATTCAGGACATAGGCATAGGCAAAGACTCATGACTAAACCACCAAAAGCAATTGCAAGAGAAGCCAAAATTGACAAATGGGATCTAATTAAACTAAAGAGTTTCTGCTCAGCAAAAGAAACTATCATCAGAGTGAAAAGGCAATCTACAGAATGGGAGAAATTTTTTGCAATCTATCCATCTGACAAAGGTCTAATATCCAGAATCTACAAGGAACTTAAATAAATTTACAAGAAGAAAACAACCCCATCAAAAAGGGGGCAAAGGATATGAACAGACACTTCCCAAAAGGAGACTTTTATGTGGCCAACAAACATATGAAAAAAAGGTCATTATCACTGGTCATTAGAGAAATGTAAATCAAGACCATAATGAGATACCATCTCATACCAGTTAGAATGGTGATCCTTAAAAAGTCTGGAAACAACAGATCCTGGTGAGGATATAGAGAAATAGGAGTGCTTTTACACTGTTGGTAGGAGTGTAAGTTACTTCAACCATTGTGGAAGACAGTGTGGCAATTCCTCAAGGATCTAGAATCAGAAATAGCATTTGACCCAGCAATCCCATTATTAGGTATATACCCAAAGGATTATAAATCATTCTTCTATAAAATCACATGCACACATATGTTTATTGCAGCACTATTTACAATAGCAAAGACTTGGAGCCAACCCAAATGCCCATCAATGACAGACTGCATAAAGAAAATGTGGCACATATACAACATGAAATGCTATGCAGCCATTAAAAAGAAGGAGTTCATGTGCTTTGCAGGGACATGGATGAACCTGGAAGCCACCATCCTCAGTAAACTAACACAGGAACAGAAAACCAAATACCGCATGTTCTCACTCATAAGTGGGAGTTGAACACAGGGAAGAGAACATCACACACCAGAGCCTATAGTGGGGTGAGGGGAAAGGGGAAGGAGAGCATTAGGACAAACACCTAATGCATACAGGGCTTAAAACCTAGATGATGGGTTGACAGGTGCAGCAAACCACCATGGCACATGTATACCTATGTAACAAACCTGCACATTCAGCACATGTATCCCAGAACTTAAAGTAAAATTTTGTTTAAAAAAAGAGAAACCAATTTTTCTACAAATTAATTTGAGTGCCATTTTGTTCCTACCAGGAGCTTGATGGGAATCAGAGGTTCCTGTATATTTATAAACCGTATATTTACTTTAGAATAATAAATCATATTGTATTAGTCTCTTAAAAAATTTCTCAACAGAATACTAGCAATCCAAATCCAACAAAATATAAAATTACATCATTATGAAATGGGATTTATGTCAGGAACAGAAAATTGACCCAACATATGAAAATCAAATAATTAATTTGATTATTAAATTGACTCAACATATTAAAATCAAATAATATACCTGAATCTGATAAAAAGGACATCTATAAATAACCGACAGCAAATGCCACAGTTAGTGTTGAAAAACTAAAATTTTTCCTTAAGATTAGGAACAACACAAGGATGTCCACTCTTGCCAATTCTGTTCAACATTTTACTTGAAGATCTAATCAGGGAAATCAGGCAAGGAAAATAAAAAAGGGCCATCTAAATTAGAAAGGAAAAACTGAAAATATCTTTATGCACAGATAACACAAAGTTATATATATAAACCCTTTAAAATAGATTTTAAAAATAGAGCTAATAGTAATTTCAGCAAGGTTGCAAGATATACATAGAAGTCAATATAAATGGCCCTATTAAAAATCAGTTGTATTTCTACACTAACAATGAACAATCCAAATATAAAGAAAATCAATTTTATTTACAGTAGCATCAAAAGAATACTTAGGAATAAATTTAACCATATAAGAGCAAGACCTGTACAATGGAAACTACAAAATATTGTTAAAAGAAATTAAAGATGACCTAAATAAATAATAAAATATTCTATGTTCATGGATCAGGAAACTTAATATGGCAATTCTCCCCAAATTTATCCACAGACTTAATGCAATAGCTATCAAAATTCTAGTGGACTTTTGCACAAAAAATAGTAGTGCTGATCCTAAAATTTATATGAAAATATAAAGTAATGTTAAAAGAGAAACAAAAGAGAAACTTTCCAATTTCAAAACATACTACAGAGCTGCAATAATCAAGACGGTGTGACTAGCACAAGGATAGACATATAGATCAAAGGAATAGAATTCAGAGTCCAGTAATAAATCATATATGTATGGTGAGTTGATTTTCAACAAGGGTTTTAAGACTACTCAATGGGAAACAATAGTCTTTTCAACAAATGTTTCTATGGCAATTGGATATTCACATGCAACAGAATGAAACTGGGCCCCTAACTCCCACCAAATACAAAAGCAATTCAAAATAATTCAAATACCTCAGTGTAAGACCTCAAACTATAAAGCTATTATAGGATTACATAGGTGTAAATCTTCATGGCCTTGGATTAGGCAGTGGTTTCTTAAATGACACCAAATGGGCAAGCTACAAAAAAATATAGAGATAAATTTGACTTCATCGAAATTAAAATCTTTTGTGCTTCAAAGGACACCATTTAAAAATGTAAAGACAACCACAGAATGGAGAAAATAGATGCAAATCATACCTGGTTAGGGTCTAGTATCTAGCTAATACAAAGAGCTCTGACAACTCAACAATAAAAGGATATTAACTCCATTTTAGAATGGGCAAAAGATTTAAAGAGACATTTCTCTAAAGAAGGCATACAAATGGCCTATAAGGACATGAAAAGATTCTCAACATCACTAGCCATCAGGGAAATCCAAATGTAAATCACAATGAGATCCCACTTTATAACTACTATAATAGCTATAATCAGAAGAAAAAAAAAAAGACAAGAAGTTTGGGGAAAGATGTGGAAAAATGGTAATTCTCATACATTGCTGGTGGGAATGTAAAATTGTGCAGTCACTTTGAAAACAGCTTGGCATTTCCTCAAAAAGTTAAACATAGGGTTACCATATGATTCCACACCTAGGAACCTACCCAAAAGAACTGGAAACATATATTTCTACAAAAATGTATACAGAAATGCTCACAGAAACATTCAAACATTTAACAGCTAAACAGTGAAAACAATCTAAATGTCCATTAACCGACAATGAATACAATGTAGTATATCCACACGAAATTATTCAGCCATAAAAAACTAAATACTGATACATGCTATAACACGTATAAACCTTGAAAACATTATGCTAAATTAAAGCCAGACACAAAAGCCACGTTATATGATAGCATTTATATGAAATTTCCAGAATAGACAAATCCATAAATACAGAAAAGTAGAGTATTTGCTAAGGGCTAGGGGAAAGGAGAAACAGGGAGAGACTTCTGATGAGTGTTTTACGGGGGTGATGAAAAGATTTTGGAATTAGATAATGGTGAGAGTTGCACAATTTTATGAATATACTGAAAACTATGTGTTTACTCTAAAATGGTGAATTTAATGGTGAGTGAATTACATATTAATAAGTTTTTAATAAGACCTTACAGAAGGCAATTGTGAAAATGTATCATAAATCTGGGAATGAAACTCTAACCTGTGTGCCTGGAGAACGGAGAGAGATATTGATAAAACTGAGTTTTGGCAAATGTGGGGTAAAGGTGTTTCACTTTTTTGAATGTCTTATATTCCTTGCTGGTATTAACTGGCACATTTGAGTAAGAAACTGAGCATTTTGCATAAAAAAAAAGACAGATAAAGCACATACCCTATGATCGAGGATTTTCACTTGTAGAAATCTAATATCGATGTGTGGCTGGCATAGTTGGCACTCAGTGATTTTCTCTCCTATTATAAAGGTGATAACCATAGGGACAGATAATAAATTATGCAGTAAATTCCTGCAGCCAAACTCAGCTCTCACTTCTGCTTCTTTTTATAAAAATAAGACAGTATTCATACTCTAATGTACCATGACCATGAAATTTCTGTTCTTTTAATCTTTGCAAGTTGCATAAATGGGAAAGCGAAATTCTTCCCTAAAATATAGGGTCTTTTTTCTAGGGATACTGAGCGTTTACTAGCAGAACAGTTAAAGATTTCATGTAGAGTTCCAGCCTCTTTTTGGAGTGGGAGTAGGATGGGAAAAGACAGAAAGCCTGAACCTCACCCAAACACCATGAAGCTACAAAAAAGCAAAGAAATATTTAGAGTGACTTACGTATAAAGCTTCATGAAAATGAGCAGTGACTATGCATTGATAAAATCAAGTACTACTGAAAGAAGTTCCTAAGTGAACCTGTATATATTTTTTCTTTAACTCTCTCTCTGAATGGTGATACCTCTTTAAACATGGCATTGGTATTATTTGTAAACAGTCCTTCGTTCAAATAGAATTCTATCAATTCCGCTAACGTGGAAAAACATGTGAATCTACTTTTCTAATTAACCATACCCAAGTCTGTCAGTCTATGAAGACATAATCTGAAGTCCACTTGCCCAAATCGCAGGCAGAACACCAAACAAGGAGAAATAACTTCAGAAATCTACTCCATTATCCAAAAGGTGACAAATGACAACTAAACTTCCAGGATGCTCATTGCATCACCACTCCTCTACAGCTGGTTCCATGGAAGCATGGAGTGTCCACCAACATACCTGCTACCACCCACAAGGCCGCATCCTCCTACCCACCCAGCATGGTAGAGACACAGGGATTGTGACATAAGCAAATACCCTCAGACTGATATATGTAAATGCCTGCCTACGAGCTTCCTGGTAGGGACACCAGCTGTGAAGGCCTCATAACAGCCAACTTCTTGCAACTCTCAAGCTGACGGCCTCACGAAGGGGAGGAAGGACTCCTCCACTGGAGAACTGATAGCAGTATTCTGGTAGAGGAGGCATCAAGAGCCCTAGGAGGCCAGCGGTAATCATGTAGGCGCTATGGAAACTGCTATGTGCGTTTGCTGTCCATGTTGTACATGGCAGAGATGTTGTCCTCAGTTATGCTCCTGTCTGTGCTGCAAGTTCATCTTCACCTCAGAGCGGAACTGCACCTGCTTCCCCTGCCCTTACAAAGATGAGCAGAACTGCCAGTTCTGCCACTGCACCTGTTCTGAGAGCCCCAACTGCCATTGGTGTTGCTGCTCTTGGGCCAATGATCCCAACTGTAAGTGCTGCTGCACAGCCAGCAGCAATGTTAGGTGCTACTACTATGAGAGTCGCTGCTGCCGCAATACCATCGTCACTTTCCACAAGGGCCACCTCAGGAGCGTCCATATCTCGTAAGTGTCAGACACTGGATGTGGGGCCACATTGGCTCATGAAAACTAGGGACCACTTGCCAGCTGTGAAGTCCACAGGGCAGGCCAGTGCGCCTCTGAGTTCATTTCTTTATCTAAAAGGAGGAGCTAAGAATTTTGTAGCAATTAACTGTATCCTAAATGGTCACTATGTATGTAGACCATGAGTTCCAAATCTAAGCGCCATTAACTATGAAAATGAGCACTTCACTCCTCTGAACCCCAACTCTCTCATCTGTACAAAATAGTAATAGCTAATAGTTAGTGCTTAAGCAACTTGCCAGGAACTTCATGCATGACCCCAGCTAACCCCTCACCCTAAGTCCACTGTTTCCATGAGGAAACTGAGCCTTTGAGAAGTAAAGTTGCCCCAGGATCACACAGCTGGAAAGATGCAGTCAGGATTGAAACCTAAAATTTGGGATCTTAACTTTAAAATGCTGTATTGCAAAATACCCCCTTCCCATGATATTGTAGATATAAGGATTAATGTACGTGCTTTGTAATCTGTATGTGATATAAAAATATAAACTGCTCTTTCTCTTCCTATGAACTCTTAATACCTGCAACATTTAATGGAAAGGTAAGAATTTGTACAGGGCACTTTTGACCCTGAGGATCATATAAATACCCCATACATCCATGAGCTCCTACTACCTTGTTTTTCCCATCCAGAAGTCATAGTACTCAGGGTCTCAATTACGCATTTGGAGTATTAACCCTCCATATTAGGTCCTACATTATCCTCACCTGCTCTACCAAACCAGTCTTTTTATGTCACAGATGAGGGGAGTCTGAAGTAGTAAGAGCACACTTCTTAGAAGGGGAAAGATGACATCACCATAAGATGACAGGATTAGAAGAGGCAGAAAAATAGAAGGCAGTTTGAAGGCTTTCAAGCCTGGAAAAGCAATTCTGTAAGCAAAGGTTCGGTGAATTGAGGGGAAAGATATTATCCATCTTGCAATTAAACATTTAGTAGATGCTTAACAAACATAACTCTCCACCCATGACCCTCTCATAGTGTTTGCATAAATAGGAAATCCAGGGATTCTCGATGCAAGTCTAGAAATCCTAAAGCATGGAAAATAGTGTCCACACTCCTCTCTTAACTACCTCATTTTCTGTGCAGCAGCAGCTGAACCTCTGAGCCCACTTCAACAGGAAAGGGATAAAATTGGTGCTTTAGGAAAATGCCTTAGGCTCAGTAGCTCCCCAACGTTATTGTGCATTGAAGTCACCTGGGGATCTTTTAAAATTACTGATACCTAATCCCCACCCCCAAAAACATTGATTTTATTGGTCTGGGGTACCACCTGAGTATCTGAATTAATTAGAATCAACCCCTGCCTTCAGGTGATACTAATGTGTAGAATGGCCTGCAGGGGGCTAGGAGGGAAGCCAGATTTGACAGGTGATGCAGCAAGAATCCAGGTGCAAGAACAGGCCTGATTTTGGGAGAGAGGGGGCTGTGCAGAGGAGCAGAGACAGGATATCTCAGCAAGAAGATAAAAGCGCTGGGCTTGATGACTGTTTTGAAATGGAACCATGGCCACTGAATGCCCCATCTGAGCCTAAGGCTTTTGGAGGATGGGCAGGGATGCTACCACAAGTGTTAGGAGGTGCTTTTCTTCAATCTAGCCTCTCTCCTGGCTTCTGACCCTCTGCCTCCCCTGTTTCTCATCACCACTTTCTGTTCAGCACCTTGCTTGTCCTGCCTCACTCTGGTCTCATTCATCCCTCTCCATCTTAGTCTTTTTCTCACTTCCTTTTTCACCTCTAACACAGCTACCTAAGCCATTAATACCTGTCTCTTAGTCCTGAGACCTCTTTCTCGTCCTCCAACACCTCCCTCCCCCCTTCTTCTTTCTTTTTTGTGAAAATGCTAGCTCATGAGCTTCCTAGTAGAGATACCTGCTGTGAAGGCCTCATAACAGTCTCTCTTTATATTATACCTCCAGTCCTTACTTTTTTAGCAAACTAAAGTCCATCTGGGCACTACATGGACAATTGACCTGTACCTCCTGGTGATCCCTTAAGGACCCATGCAGGAATCTGGGAAAGCAGAGAGGAAATAGAGCTGAGAACATCGAGGCCAGCATGTCTGGAGTTCCCAGATCCCTAAGGGACAAATTTTCCAGGTGCCTTAATCCACACAGGAAGCATTCTCTGTCACCACAGGGCCACTCCATTCCAATATACTTGGGAAGCACCTGTGACTGTCTGGACTCAGACATAGGGAGTGGGGAAGACAGGGACACATAAGGAATGCAAGAAGACAAAAGTAGAAAGAAACACAGCCACAATGTCAAAATTAGTATCCAAATACTATTATGCAAACAGAGGAGATAGCAATAGCGGCAAATTGTGTGCCTATTTACACCTCCATTCCCACAGCTAATTCATTTATTTTTATACATTGCATTTGCTGATTGTAAGTTCTTAGGCACTTGAATTTTACAAGTATGCTTTTACTCCATAGTTCTTACGATTAAATATATGAAATCAGCCTCAGGCATTAGACAAATGGAGAGCTTTAACACACACAAATGAAACAGTAGAAGCACATACTTTTCACAGACTTGGCCACTATTTTCCTTTACTGTGATTTCTCTCTACTGCAGACATTAGCTGGCTAGTAGCAAAGGGATGTAATTATAGTGGCCACATTTACTGAATGCTTACTATATACCAGCAGTTAAGCACTTACATGGATTATCTCATTTAGACTTTATAAAAACCTCACAAAGCAAGTAGTACTGTGAGCTTTGATTTATAGTTAAGAAAACTGAACATGAGAGAGGTTTAAAAAAACATCTCAGAAGGTACAACTGTAAAGTGGTGCATTTTTATCACACACGCTCTGCCTCTAAAGCCCAGATCCATTACCATTACCTATTGGTCTGGTTGGCAGACCACACAGGTTCTAGGCTTGGCTCAGGTACAGACTTGCTCTGTGTTCCATCTATGTACAATAAATAATGTCAATGTCCTCCAGGAAAAAAAAAAAAGCCCTAAGAACACACCTGTAGTTGGACAAGATTGTATTTATTGACTCATTGCAACAAGTGAGAATATAAAGCATGGGAAAGTGTAAAGTACCTTGAAAAGTTATTACAGGATTTGAGCTCATGTTAGGTGAGGACATGGGAGTAAATCTATTGAATATTTTAATAAATCTTATCTAGAAGGTGGGAAGAACAGAGTGACCCGAAAGCTGCTGAAAAAAAAAGAAAAACAAAAAACACCGGTTTTTTGGTTTAAAAAAAAAAAAAAATCAACCAGGATAGGGGGATGTTGGGTCATTTTTGTGATTTAGACAACGTTCTTGTCTGAGTCCAAACATTATAAAGTGGCCTTGTTTCTGCTTTGATCCAAAGTCACAGAGTGGCCTTGTCTGATACTGTGTTCTTTGATATTACCCATGTCCAACGGAACACCAAGGCCTAGCTGACAACGCCTGACCAGTCTCTGCGGCTTTTCCCTTGCTTAATAACAGCAAACAGTTGCAGCACACTAGCTGTGTACCATGGACTGCTCTTAGTCCGTACAAGCGCTAAACTCAATTTTAATCTTCTCAAGAAACTCTGACATGGGTACTAATTTTATAACAAGGAAACAGGCCGAGAGGTTAACTGGCTTACCTGAGGTCACCCCGCTGAAAAATGGTGGAGACAGGTTGAGAACGCAGGCACCTTGGCACTCAGCTCAGGCTCCTCACCACCACCCTAGACTCCCCCTCAGGAACCAAGAGTTCTTTCAGAGGTAGAGAGGCAGAACAAGCTCTTGAGCCTTCCTCCTGAAACCCTGCCTTTGCTTCTCCTTTCAGCTCCAAGACTGCCCTGCGCATTGGGAGCAGCGATACCCAGTTGGATGAAGTGAAATCAGTACCAGCCAAGAGCCACCTGGTGAACCACCTCAATTGCCCCATGTGCAGCCGGCTGCGCCTGCACTCATTCATGCTGCCCTGCAACCACAGCCTGTGTGAGAAGTGCCTGCGGCAACTGCAGAAGCACGCCGAGGTCACCGAGAATTTCTTCATCCTCATCTGTCCAGTGTGCGACCGCTCGCACTGCATGCCCTACAGCAACAAGATGCAGCTGCCGGAGAACTACCTGCGCGGGCGCCTCACCAAGCGCTACATGCAGCAGCACGGCTACCTCAAGTGGCGCTTTGACCGCTCCTCCGGGCCCATCCTCTGCCAGGTCTGCCGCAACAGGCGCATAGCGTACAAGCGCTGCATCACCTGCCGCCTCAACCTGTGCAACGACTGCCTCAAGGCCTTCCACTCGGATGTGGCCATGCAAGACCACGTCTTTGTGGACACCAGCGCCGAGGAACAGGACGAGAAGATCTGCATCCACCACCCATCCAGCCGCATCATCGAGTACTGCCGCAATGACCACGAATTGCTCTGCACCTTCTGCAAGTTCTCTTTCCACAATGGCCACGACACCATCAGCCTCATCGACGCCTGCTCCGAGAGGGCCGCCTCACTCTTCAGCGCCATCGCCAAGTTCAAAGCAGGTCCTCCCCTTCTCCACTCCTTCAGCCTAACTTCTAGTTCAGGAACACATGGGGAAGATGGCGTGGGGCAATCTGTTAAGTGAGTGCCTTAACAGATTCCACCTAGTGGAGCAATCAAGGCACCAGGAAACACTGTGCTATCCTGCAAGTCACTATCCCGGTGTCCACTCCTGGTAACCACTACCAGTCACTTAACTTCTCCCTGCCTTGCTTTTCTCACCTATGAAATAGCGGAATAGTAGTGACCCCCTCACTGGATTGCCGTGAGGATTAAGTGAGTTACTCTATGTAAAGAATGCAAAAAGTCATATGACAAGTGCATAAAGATTCTATAATCTTGATTATAATCTGCATGTCCTCAGGTCTCATTTTCTCCTTTGGAAAATGAAGACTTTGATCCTATAGTATACTGACGTTCTGTGACGTTCTAAGGTGTTCTGTCACTGTTGGATCGCTTTGGTTTTCCTAAATGTGCGGGGGGAAAGAATTAAGTCAGTGCTGAGAATCATCTCAATGTTAAATTTCCCTCCATGAATTTTTTCCAAAACTTGCAGATGCCAAAGTAAATAAACTGGCAGCAAACATATAACAACAGGGACAACTCATAACTAGCCAATGGTATTCTAGTCAACAGCTTGTTTTTCCTCTGCATTCTTGCTCGTGGTGATTTGGTTGTTTTATATTGTTACATATAATATTGCTTTAAGTGAAATAATATTTCAGTGATGGTTTCAGTGATGGAACCAAGCGTAATAATATTTCACAGGATTCAGCAAAGAGCCCATAATTTCTTGTTTCAGTGACAAAACCATGTATAATCATATTTCACAGGATTCAACAAAGAACCCCATAATTTCTGGGTATGTCTCCACCTGGTCAGACATTAGAATCCAAAAGATTCCTTTAGTGCCCTTTACCCTCGGGAATAGTTCCTTGTATAAAGGCCAACTTTACTCAGGCCTGTGAAGCACATTTTGTCTAATCTCAATAGTGCTACAGTACAGGCATTAAAATGTCCTCCATGGATAAGCCAACTGTGGTTCAAAAAAATAATTAGGACAGGCAGCTAATAAGTGGCAGATGCAGTCTATTTGACTCCAGTGTCCACCATTAATTCCACAACATTTATTTGACAATCTACTCTGTGCTAAGCAGTGACCAGAATCTGAAGATGAAGAGATTGAAGGGGAGGAAGGGGGAACCACCGCCACCATCCATGGTCTGTTTCATTAAGGAGTGGCCTGCAGTCAGTTACCAAAGTGCACCAGATCAAGCCAGGCCTTTCCCATTGTCAGATCTGTTAGTCTCCAACATTCAGATAAGCCTATACATTGGGAGGGAGGCAGCTTTTCCTTGAGCTGCACAGAAAGGTCCCATTGGATATAAAGGTGGGTCCAAAACAGGCTTTGCTAATGACCACATCACCCCTGACCTCTCAGCAGCTTCAGGAATACCTCGATTTTTTTAAATTGCCACATACCTGGAAACATTGCTTGTCAATTGACATTTATTTAATTCTGGAACCACCATCAGGGAAGACTTCATATTAAAGGAACCCTGCAGGAGCCACATATTATCAAGAAAATGGTAGAACTGTTGGTTCCAAAAGGGTTTTCTGAAGGTGGGACTCACTGCTTCCCTAGGCCAGGGCTTGTCTGAATTCTTTGGCCAAGCATGGCAAAGGTGCTGCTCTCTACAGCCTACTGTGCCTTCCATCCCTCTGTAGGGAATCTTGTCCTTAATACATGTGAAACTTACGATAGTTTTCTGAGTCCAGGGCACCTAAAAGTCAGACAACAAAGCTCAATTCAAGATGGGGGGAAAATGCCTGTCCAAATTCCAAGGAACCCAGCAGTTGGAAAGGGAAAAAGGGATAATAGGTAAATTAGATATTAGCTATTAAGTAAATAATTTAACCTTTCATCCTTGACAAAGAAAGGAACAGACACACAACATTTTTTTAACTAGGGTTCAAACTTGTTCGTGAGCACTTGATTCACTTTTCTGGGAGGTACCATAAATTGGCATTCTAAACAGATCTCCGGGTTATTCAAAAGCAAGTGATCTGGGAATACACACTGAGAAACTTGGGGACCTAGAGAGAAGAACCATTTTAGAAGCTTTACTAAAAACTGATGCCCCTGTCCCATCCACACAGAGGTGCAGGCTCAGCAAGACGGACTTTTAAAAAACTCCTCATGTGATTCTATGGTGCAGGCAAGGTTGAGAACCACTGGAATAAAGGGAGCTCAAAAGTTTAGGTCCCTGCCACTCAAAGTGTGGTTCGAGGACCAGTAGCACTGGCATCACCTGAGAGCTTGTTAGCAATGCAGAATCTCAGGACCCACCCCAGGCCTAGTGTACCAGAATCTGCATCTTTAACATGATCCCAGGAGATTCTCTGGGTTAGATTCTAAACCTCACTGCACACTGCCTCGCCTGGCTTCCTGAGCCCCAATACAGGCCCGTTGATTCAGAATCTTAGCAGGTGAGTCCAAGGGAAGAGGTTTTTTTAACACTCTCTCAGGTTAATCTGGTACTCACAGAGGGCTGAGAGCCACAGCTGAAGCAATTAAGAACTTAGTTTGGAGCTAGGCAAATAGAATTAGGGACACAGCCTAGTTTCTCCCATTTACCTGATGTGTAACACTGTGCAGTCACTTCACTTCCCTGGGCCTCAAGCTTTTTCATCTATAAGTGGAAACAATATCTTCCTTGTAAGAAGATATATGTGATATATAATAACATATGGATCTGGTCCATAAAAAGTGTTTAATAAATAGCAACTAGTTTTTAAGTGTATTACCTAAAAAGAGAGCTTGATTTGACTTCGTTTAAAATCAGCTCTTGCAGAGCTTTCAGATTTGTAGAAGTTTGGGATGGGACATTTCTGGCTTCCTCTGTCTTTTTTCTCCTCCTGGAGATGCCTTTTTCCCCTCATCTAAGAAATTTTTATCCTGCTTCTCAGGACTTTGCCCTACATAAGCCTAATTAATCCCTAATACAGCAAGAAATTTCCTATCCAAGTATCTTTAACAGTAGGTAAATATTGAATAGTCAAAGAAAATAATGCACAAAGTAGAATTCTGGCTGCCATAGTCACAGTGCATTGGGGAGGGCAAGAAGCACTTCTCAGCACTGAAATCGCACCCTAGTAGTTTCCCTTTCAGTCTCACCTGCATCACCTCATCTTTTCTGAGCCACTGTGAGAAAGGAGATGGCAAGAAAACAGTGGGGCTTCAGGGAGTTAGCTAGAGAGTGACACTGCTGGCATTCACCAATGAGATGTTAGAAGACAGGAAAGAATGGCTTTTCCTCAACAAATACATTTGCTCACCTCTACACACCATAGTCATAGTGGTAATGTGGTCCCTGTTCACATGATCTGACAGAACTCTAGGGTTTCCCATACTCAAGTGCACACCCTTGTTACAATGACCACCACTCACAGAAGTCCAGCTTCCTGTGAACCCAGGATAGTGTTATGAACCAAGTGCAAAAATAGCTAGCCATCCCCACTCCTGAGTAAAATTTGGTGAGGATTATTGCCCATCAATTCACTGAAGAGTTTACCTTCATGAGAAGCATCTTATCTGTAGAAGATTGACATTCTTCTAACGGCCACAGAAGGTTGATATTCTTCAAATTGCTCCTTAATGCCTCAAATCCTCTAAAGCTAACAAAGGTATTCATTTCACCTTTCACATAAAGCTCATTTCACAGATAGAGATGTGCCACATGCTCGCCCTGCTATAGCATCCTTCAATTATAGTATCTTTGGATTTATTCATAACTTGAGCACAGATGCCCTCTCATAATCACATCCATATCCTTAGTGCCTAAAAGATACATGGCATGTAACAGGACTCCAGTAAATGTTTGTTGAATGACTGAGTGAACTTAAAATCCAAATACCATATGATGGGCACAAGATAAATTGGTTTTCCTTGAAGTGTGACAGCAGACTCTTTTTTGGAAGCAGTGGGGGAAAGGCAAAGAGAAGTGACATAGCTGAACCACAAGAGAAACAAAGGGGGGAAAGGGCATGTAAGAGAGCCACCTCAGTGAAGGGAAGCTTTACTGATTTCCCACTGTTGTATAGGGCTGGAGGCTTAGCGAATGATGCAAGACAACCTTTAGAAGTAGTCAGCAGAAACTTAGTTCTTCCTCTTACCATTGCAAAAGCTTAGGTTTCTGACAGGGAAAAGCAGGCACCAGTCACTTTGTGACTTCACCTCTTCTCAAGTCCAACTTGCAGACAATTGAAGTCTGGTAAAAACCAATATCAAGGGTGGGCTTGAACTTCCAGTCTCAGACCCAAAGCCATAGGGATTACTGTTACAAGATAGAAATATCCCAGGGAAGGATCAGAGGGAGAAGAAGGGGAAGGTGTACTAAGGAGGCCAGATTCATTTCATAAACCTATTCTAGCCTGTTTCAGCCCAACTACAAGTGCCTTCCCTCCCTCTTCATTCACCTCCTTGGAGCCCAGGGTAATTTGTTCTAGCTTGCTACTGGCTTTGACACCTGGGGAGATGAAAATTTTAAAAGTAACTAACTTGGCATTTTTGCAGTCCGATATGAAATTGATAATGACCTAATGGAATTCAACATCTTAAAAAACAGCTTTAAAGCTGACAAGGAGGCAAAGCGAAAAGAGATCAGAAATGGCTTTCTCAAGTTGCACAGCATTCTTCAGGAGAAAGAGAAGATCATCATGGAGCAGATAGAGAATCTAGAAGTGTCCAGGCAGAAGGAAATTGAAAAATATGTGTATGTTACAACCATGAAAGTGAACGAGATGGATGGTCTGATTGCCTACTCCAAGGAAGCCCTGAAGGAGACTGGCCAGGTGGCATTCCTACAGTCGGCCAAGATCCTGGTGGACCAGATTGAGGATGGCATCCAGACCACCTACAGGCCTGACCCACAGCTCCGGCTACACTCAATAAACTGCATGCCCTTGGACTTTGTTGAGCTTTCCAGTGCCATCCATGAGCTCTTCCCCACAGGGCCCAAGAAGGTATGCTCCTCAGGGGACTCACTGCCCTCCCCCTACCCCGTGCATTCAGAAACAATGATTGCCAGGAAGGTCACTTTCAGCACCCACAGCCTCGGCAATCAGCAGATATACCAGCGAAGCTCCTCCGTCTTATCCTTCAGCAACACTGAGGAGAAGGCCAAGGTGGGTCTGGAGGCCTGTGGGAGAGCCCAGTCAGCCACCCCCGCCAAACCCACAGATGGCCTCTACACCTACTGGTGTGCTGGAGCAGACAGCCAGTCTGTACAGAACAGCAGCAGCTTCCACAACTGGTACTCATTCAACGATGGCTCTGTGAAGACCCCGGGCCCAATTGTTATCTACCAGACTCTGGTGTACCCAAGAGCTGCCAAGGTAAGAAAAGTTCTGGGCCCAGTGGGGAAGGTGGGAGGGTTTGGGGTACAGAGTAGAAGTGAGTAGTCAGGAAAAGTTGCACTTATCTCTTTAACCTCTAGGATCTGGTCACTCAAATCTGCTCCTCTAGACTCTTTGTGGTCATCCCATTCAAAAGGGATAAGTTCCGGGAATCTTAAGTAACCCAAGATTAGCTTAAACCAAACAGTCAATATATTTAACTTATAGTCGTAAATATATCTGAAAGCCCTACCTCCACTGCAAAGGCAACTTCTCAACTGAAAGAGAACCCAATTTGGGAACCAAAGTAATTTGAAGACATTACTTGGCCGTGTAATGTTTCCCAAAGGAAAGCCTGTAATAGAGACAGCACAGAAATTGGAGTTACAAATGCAGGCTCCATTACCTACCAGCTGTTTCCTCTAAATTGCTACCTTTCCTAAAGCATATATCCAGACTCTCTATGATTTGGAAAAATTGGGAGGATCATCCCCGATGAAATTTCAACTCTTCTGAGATTCAACCCGCCTTGAAGGCAGAGAGTGAAGAGTGGGGTCTCTCACAGATCTATATAAGCGCCATTGCCTGGCTTCAAGGGACATGACTTCCCTTTGACCCTCTTGACCTAATATGAACATGAACAAATGACCTTTTCTTTAACATACCTTTCAAATCTAGTTGAACCCACATTGAATTGTTTGTAGAACACTTTATTAAGGTTTATGGAGGAAAAAAATTAACATGCAATGAAATACTCTATTTGAGTGCCTCTTTCCTCCTCTTGGATTTTTTTCTAGAGTCAGCCCATGTCCTGCTCCCATGTGGCAGAGTTCATCTTTTGTCTCTCATAATCTGAGAACACTCCCAAAGACTTTTAGATCCTTGAGTTCTAAACTAGCAGTTCTCAAACATCGATGTGCACCTGGGGATCTTGTTAAAATGCAGATTCTATTTTAATAGGTTTCAATGGGGCCTGAGATTCAGGTTCTCACAAACTTCCAGGTGCTGCCAATGCTGCTGTCCGCAGCCCACACTTTATTATTAAGGATCTAAAAAATGAAGGCCAGACACAGACCAAGCTCTACTTTTCCATTCTCCTGACACATCATAATCTATGTTTTGTTGTCTATAACTGACACAAAGAACAACCCATACTTTGCAAGATAGAACATTCCATGGGCTATTGACATAATGAAGTGTTTCTGCCCTTCACATAAGCAATGTCCATAACTGAGCGGCTGAACTACATTTCCAAATGATACTAGATCAGCAAGGCCTATAGTGTATGCTTATTACCTCAGGGATAGCACAGGGTCTCATCTCCTGACCAACTCAGACCTCTTGAGAAGTTGGCAGGCTCTTGCTATGGAGCCAGAGGATTGGTAGTATCTGCTCTATACCTGGGCATGGAAAACAGTCACCCCATGCCACCTATTAGTCACCCCTGATGAGCTCAAAAAAGTGACCTATGCAAAACAACTCAGTCAAGTCATTTGCTGTCAAAAGAGGACACCTAAACCTATTTCCAGACAGTGATATTTGATTTTAAAATATCATTGATTCATATTTTAGGATAATGGAATGGACTTCATACAGGAATCATAGTGCTTAGCAATGCAGAAGATTAAGTCTATGTTAACATCACTCTCAAATCTTTGGGATTTTAGCATGGAAAATATTCTAAAACTTAAAGTTGTAACTTTTCAATATGTACTGTTAATATCCTAGAGATTTTTTAAACTCAATTTTAGTTCTAGGAATCTCTTCCAAGAAAATTCTTAAAAATTCAGACAAATATTTATGCCCAACAGTATTTATTACAGCATTTATTTATTAGAGTATAAAATTAGAAACAACCTAAATGTTCAACCATAGAAGGATTAAATTATTTTGGGAGAAATTTTAAAGATGGTAGTTTACTGAATTTTTAATGATTTAGGAAAACATACAACATAAGCAAAAGAAAATAGAAATCAAAGCAACATAATCCAAGTTATATATATATATGTTTGTGTGTGTGTGTGTTCTGAAATTGCAAAGAAATAATAATGAATTAACTGAATTGTGAGATTATGGGTGATGTTTATTTTCTTCCCCTCTATTTTTCAGTATTTTTCAAGCAGGAGGACAATTGTCACCTCCACGTTGGCTGACAGTAACAGTCACAAACCTTCTGTTTGTGAAACTCATTACAAGCATCATGCCAGGCCTCATCACACAGCCTTTCAAGACTTGTGCATGGCCTAATTAAAAGTCTTCGGCAGCTACAGGGGATGGGATCAGCTTAAACTCACCCCACAGACAGTCAACCTCACAAATCTTTAATGGAAAGAAAACTGAATGATGTATACTAGTACCACACCAGTATGTTCATTTCTTCCATAGGTTTACTGGACATGTCCAACAGAAGACGTGGACTCTTTTGAGATGGAATTCTATGAAGTCATTACTTCCCCTCCTAACAACGTACAAATGGAGCTCTGCGGACAAATTCGGGACATAATGCAGCAGAATCTGGAGCTGCACAACCTGACCCCCAACACAGAATACGTGTTTAAAGTTAGAGCCATCAATGATAATGGTCCTGGGCAATGGAGTGATATCTGCAAGGTACTGTGTACATTATTTCTCAGAATTTTTTTTCTATGATAGGTTCTGGGTGAGACCCTGTTAAGATGATCATGAGATTTTAGAACTCACCATGGGACTCTTCCTCTAAGCACAGAACATTTGTTAACTTGAGGCCAAAGAGAGGGCTGCTGGCCTCAACCAGACTTCGCAGATGAAGCCTGAGAATTGTTCTATTTGATTCAAAAACATTTGTTCTAGGCATTGTGTAGAGATGTAGAGATTCAGAGGAAAATAAACATAACCCCTGCCCTCAAGGTGCTCAGGGTCCATAAAAAAATAAGTGTTGTGTGAGAAGGATATGAAATGATTGTGGTATGGGAAAGATAAAAATGAGGTGCTATTCTCAGGCAAGGATGGGGTGCCAGATTTAACAAATAAAAATATAGGATGCCCACTTAAATTTGAATTTCTGGTACACAATAATTTTTATAAAATATGTCCAGTGCAATATTTAGGACCTATTTATACTAAAAACAATTGTTCATCTGAAAGTTGAGAAACTGCCACTAAGCAGGTCAGTGTGGGTTCCAAAAAAGAAAAGACAAAATTATTCCTATCTTCTTTGTGATCCAAGACTGATTCTTCTTTATATCTCCAGGGAATATACATTCATGAGTATAATTTTACTGATATTAAAAGGAGAAAGAGAATAAAAATACCAAGACTGCCCAGAGCTGCTCTCGTACCATATAACCATAAGGATGTTCTTTGGAATCAGGGTCGATTATGTCTTAATCAGGAATTCTTTAGAAGCAAAAAAAAAAAAAAAAAAGAAAATCCATTCATTTCAGCTTTTGAAAAGATAAATTTATGACAAAGATAGAGACCACTCCTAGGATATGCATCTGATCTGATACCCAAGGGAACTAGAGAGTTGTCAGTTTCTCTCCCTCTCTCTCTCTTCTCTTAGTCTCTCCCTGCTTTCTTCTCTCTCTCACTCTCTCATTCTCTTTGCTTCTCTCTGGATCTGCACCATTTTTGGCTAGCCCTTAGTTTCTGCTCCCTAAAATTCAGCTTGTATATGGTTTTGAATTGTCATGGCCCAACCTCTGTGTGACCTTAAAGCTCCAGTGCCCAACAGCCTCTGACCAACCATACTGTCTTTGTTTCCTTAGTCAAATGTTCGAGGAAAAGAATCCAGCTGGTTGCTACCTCTAGTAATAAAGGCAAAGCAGGAGTAAGGGTGGTCAGCATACCAATAGCAAATCTCCTAGGGTGGGACTACTCATCCTGGTTGACAGCCCCCGGGGGGGCATGCTCTGCCTTATAGAGTCCAGCACCCATGGACACACACACACACAGAGAGAGAGAGAGAGAGAAAGAGACAGGATAAACCTGGCACAGGAAGGGCGTGGGATGGGGAAGTCTGCTAGTCACTCCTCCTGCCAGCCTCCAGCCAATTACACTGCTGCTCAGTTGCCCCAAAGTCCTTCTCATTCTTGATACCCTTCTCTTCAGAGCATGGAATGGGAATGCCCATGGCTGCCCCACATCCACATGTCTTCTTGACTATGGATTTTTCCTTCCTTCTAATCCCATCTGCCTTCTCAGTTTTTAGGAATTCCTCAAAATTGTCTTGCCCATGAAGGGCACTCAGTGCTGTTGCTAAATACATATATATATAATTTTCAGATGCCAGGGAAGGAACAGGCAGAGATACCAAAGTATGTCATCAGTCACCACCTCAGTCCCTCTTGGCTTTTCTTAGGTAGAGGTTTCTGTCGCCCTCTGAAACTATGGACTCCTTGAGAACAAAATTCACATCTAATTCATGGTTCTTTCTCCCACAGTGCTTACCACAGCACTTTGCATATAGCAGGTTCTTAATGGTTATTGAATGAGTATATGAGTGAAAATGTGACCAAATAAATGAACATATAAAGAATGTCTAAATTAAAGAGTGAAGAAATAAATTGATAAATAAAATTAATAATTACAAAGTACCATAAGATGCCTGAAAGCTGTTAAGTGTTTTATACAATCAGTCAAGAAATAGCATTCCCCTTGAAATTGTGTTTATGTGATTAATTTGCCCTCCCTGTAACAGAAGGAAATGCATTCCAGTCCCTTTCTTTTTTACACAATATCTAAATGAGCAGAGCCCTAATTAATGAGGTTTTCTGAAAGCTTCATTTTTATCTGACTTGAGGAGCTGCAATATAGATTTTTCCTTCAGAAGCAATTCTTCCTCCCTTCTTTGTGATTATATTAGCATTCCAGAGGAAAGACTGGTTTCTTTAACATTTGTCATGATTTGCATAAGTAAAGCCTTCAATACCAAATGAAAATAAGATGTGTGTTTGAATGACATTTATAAAGTTTCATAAAAGTAATGACTTCATTTCTTTCCTATAAAATCAAAATTTTTTCCTTGGCATCAGTTCTATGCAGGTATTCCTGAAAGGTTTCACTTAAAATGTTGTAATGAGGCAGCAGAATCATTTCTTTTTCAAAATGTAATATTTCTATCACATGTATTTTTGTTTTAAAAAGTGAAATAACACCTTTTATGTTTTATTTGCATAATCTAGGACTTGGTTTTTAAGAGATGTATTTGGTGTATAATACATGCAGCAAGAAAATTAACTTTAATCATTTTGAAAGCTCCCTTTTGAAAGTCATCTTTATGTCAGATGGGGTATATTCACTATCACTAATCATCCCAACCACTGGGAAAGGAGGGAGTGATTGCTTCCATTTTACAGATAAGAACAATGAGGCTGTAAGAAGCAAAGTGGCCTCATGGAAGGAAGCAAAGTGTCAGGCCTCATGGAAGGACGAGGTGAGTGGACACCTTGGTGCGCATCCAAGCCCACAGCGCTTTCTTCCCCCATACCACAATCAGATGGAACTAAGTCTGGAAGAGGGTAGGCTCAGCCCTGGGGACATAGTACTTTACTCTGGGAGAATGATGTCAAAGCCAACAGCAGGGAGGGCTGAACTTTTATTTTTTGAAAGTCAACATTATGCATTGAAAAGAGCATTGTATTTGGTCTTGTGTGCCTGGATTCAAGTCCCAACTCCACTAGCTGCAAGTCCATGAGGATAGGTGTTGGTCTTACACACCCTTCTGTGCCCATTGTCCCTAACTGAAAGCTTCTAACATCAAAGAGCCTAACTAGTATTTTTGAAGGGTAGAGAAATGTGTTTTTAGGTAAGTCATGTACGTGTTGACCTCAGTTTCTTCTCCTGCTCTTCCTCTGGTCCTCAATATATCTGTTGACCATCATTCCCATTTCTGAAAACAGTCTCCTTAGTTTGACTCACTGTCACCCTCTGACTTTATATCTCAGCTGACTTCCATGAAAGCTTCCCACAACAAATCTAACTGCTCATCTGTGTATTAGTTTCCTATTGTTGTTGTAACAAATTAGTAGTTTAAATAATACAAATTATTTATTTCCTTACAATTCTGAAGAAGTCCAAATGCATTTCACTGGGTAAAATGTGTGTCCGCCGTATTGTGTTCCTTCTGGAGGACTTGAGAGAGAATACATTTCCTTGCTTTTTCCAGTTTCTAGAAGCCACCCGCATTCCTTGGCTCATGCCCCTTCCTGAATCTTCAAAGCCAGCAATATTGGGCTGGGAGTCCTCACACTAGCATCTCTCTGGTTCTCTTCCACCTCCATCTTCTACCTTGAAGGTCCCTTGTGATTGCATTGAGCCCACTTGATAATTCAGGCTAGTCTCCCTACCTGAAGACCAGCTGGGCCAGGTGCAGTGGCTCACACTTGTAATCCTAGCATTTTGGGAGGCCGAGGGAGGAGAATCTCTTGAAGCCAGGAGTTTGAGACCAGACTGGGCAACATGACAAAATCCTGTCTCTACTAAAAATAAAAAAAAGTCAGCCGGGTGTGGTGGTGTGTGCCTGTCATCCCAGCTACTCGGGAGATTGAGGCACAAGACTCGCTTAAGTCTGGGAGGCAGAGGTTGCAGTGGGCCAAGATCATACCACTGCACTCCAGCCTGGGTGACAGAGTGAGACTCCAAGTAAAAAAGTTAAAAAGACCAGTTGACTAGCAACCTTAATTCCTCTTTGCTCTGTGTGTAACATAACATATTCAAAGATTCTGGGATTGGGACATGGACATCTCTGGGGTCCATTATTCTGTCTACCACAGTGTGTAAAGTGGATGTCCTTGGTGTCTGATGTAGCTCAGGAAGTAGTCCTGCCAGCTGCCCTGAATCTCTGCAGTGCTGCTGTCTTCCTACTAAGCCTGTGCTCCTGCTGAAACCCCAGCCACACAGCAGGACTGCCTGTCCATCATGCAATTCCCTTCCTGATTTTTCCTCTTCCTGCTGCAGACTCTCAGGCTGAGCTACACACCTTCAAAGATTAGGGTTGGAGGTCATTCAATCTGAATGACCACCAATATTTCACACTCAGAATAACTACCCCAAGCCTACCCGCACAGCCACCCACACACTCATAGTGGCTCTGTGCCCTAAAATGAAACCAAGATGGTTTGCATTCTTTATCTCCTTAGAATTTATTCTTTTCCAAAGAGCTCCTGACCTTTCATGTAAGTAGAACCCTGTTGGTCCTTCCTTTACTTGCCCTGCAGATAGGCTTCAATCCTGGAACAAGTATAATTTAGGATCATGCTGGAGCTGATTTCTTTTTAACCTCATATACAGAGGTCTGAATTAATTATACACCTCAGTTATGGTCCATCATTAGCACTGATCTATACAAAGACCTATTCTTATTTATATATTCCCTTTTGTGACATTCATTCTGTTTTATGTGTTCTTCCATGATTTGCATTGTTGTTTTCAATGTGTCATTAATTTACACAATTAGCATTGTGTTACATATCTTACTTTGTCTCTTACCTGTTCTTCTTAAATGTTGTGTTTTTATGTTCCATCCATGTTGTTATGGGCATTTTGTCTTTTATTCCTTATAACACGTGATCTTTCCGAATGTGCATTTGTTCACCGCATGTTACCTCTCTATTTCAGGCAGGATGGACACCCAGGTGACCTCCAATAATGCTGTAGTAAACAGCCTTATATATGACACCTTATGGACACGATAGGGGTGTAAGTGTTCTCTGAGTTATTGATCATTTGCTAAGGCTTCCATAAGAAAATGCCACAGACTGGGTGGCTTAAACAAAAATCAGTTTTTGCACAGTTCTCGAGGCTGGAAGTCCAAGATCAAAATGTTGGCAGGGTTGGTTTCTCCTGAGACCTCTCTCCTTGGTTCACAGATGGTCACCTTCTCACTGTGTTCTCACATAGTCCTTCCTCTGTGCACATGCATTGTGATATCTCTCTGTGTTTAAATTTCCTTTTCTTATAAAGACAACAGTTAGGTTGGATTAGGGTCCACTTTAATGGCCTCATTTTAATTAAATCACCTCTTTAAAGGCCCTATCTCCAAATACAGTCACACTCTAAGTACTGGGGGTTAAGGCTTCAACATATAAATTTGGGGTCAGGTGCAATTCACCCCATATTAGATACATATTATGAGTGAAATTTCTAGGCCATTGACATGTGGATACTTAATTTGACCACATCCATGTACACTTCCATAAGGAGTAGATTAGAGCTACTATACCCTAGGCCCCACCTACATTTAGCAAGATCCAACTTTCTATTATTTTGCTAGCCCAATAGGTATAAAATGATATATCCTTATTATTTTAAATTTCATTTTATATTTTTGTTAGTTTTCAGGATTTTCTTTTCTGTAAAGGACCTGTTGATATCCTTTGCCCAATTTTCTATTGCATTTTTCTTTTTCTAAGCGATTTATAGGATGTCCTTATATATTCTAGGTAGTGGTTTTAGACATTGCTATTATCTTCTCTTCTGACATTTGCCTATCAGCTTTGTTCATAGTATACTTCATAAAATAGCAGAAATATTTAATTTTGATATAATCAAAATCATCAATTATTTTTTCCTTATGGCTTAACCTTTTGAAGTTTTATTTAAAAAGTCCTTTCTTAGGATTAGATCACAAAGATAACCTTCTATATATTCTTTTATTAAATTTACAGTTTCACCTTTCAAATTTAGCTATTTAATCCGTTCAGACTCTGCCTTTGTATGTATCAAATGTATGTATGTACTCTGCCTACGTAGTCCTAGGTAGGGATGTTCTTTTTCACCAAGTACTGAACCAGTTTTCCCAATACCATCTACCACACAATGTCTATTCTTCATACTTATACAATGGCAATGCCACTTTTATATTCAGTTTCGATATATTTAGGGATATGTCTCTGAGCACTCTATTACATGCCACGGGTCTATATGCCTGCTCTTATATCAATACCATACTTCCTTTATTATTTTTGAACCTCAGCTTTCTGCCATGTCTATATGAACTGCTAAGGTAAGTATGTACATTACCCTTCTTCCTTTTTTAGAAATTATTTAGCTAGTCATAGAAATATATTTCTTCATATACATTTTGGAGTAACTTGAATTCTTAGAAAATATTCAGATAGAATTTATTCAGAAGGCATTGTGTTTCTAAATTAATTTGGAAACAAATGGTATTTTTATAATATGTTTGAACATTTACTCAAACCATAGTCTATGTTCTTTACTGGGGCGTTTAAGTTTTCCTACATAGGTACATGTATTCCTGGTTAAACTAGATTGTATTTTTTTTTTTTTTTTAGTGGAGACGGGGTTTCACCGTGTTAGCCAGGATGGTCTCGATCTCCTGACTTCGTGATCCGCCCGTCTCGGCCTCCCAAAGTGCTGGGATTACAGGCTTGAGCCACCGCGCCTGGCCCGGTTAAACTAGATTGTTTAGAGATCTAACATGCAGCATGAGGACTACAATTAATAATATTGTATTGATAGAAAATTTGTTAAGATTTTAGGTGCTCTTTTCACACACACACAAAAAGGTAACTATGTGAGATGATGGGCATGCTAATTTGCTTGCCTATAGTAATTATTTTACTTTGTATACATATGTCAAAACATCATGTTGTATACCATAAGTAAATAAGCCAAATAGTTTACAGACTGTTGATATTATGAATGTTATTTTATTATATTTTCTAATAGATTACCAGTTTAGAATAAAGACTATTTCTGTTTGTAGGGTCATCTTGATTCCAGCAGTCTCAAAAACTCTCTTACTATTCTGAGACCCAATCTGCTATTTCTACTTTTTTTCCAGGCATATGATCCTATCTGCTATAAAGAATGATGGTTTTATCTGTTTACTTACAATTCTTGCAACTCTATTTCTTTTTCTTTCCTTATGACTTTGGCCAGAACCTTGAGTCATACATAAAATTGTGGCAGTGTTAGTAGATATCCTTGTCTTATTCCTGATATTAACGTTTCTCCATTGAGTTATTGTTATTTAGTTTGTATGGTATATCATCCTTAATAAGTTAAGGAAAATTACTTCTACTTCTAGGTTTCTGAGAAATAAGTACTTATTAAGTTTTTTGCATTATTTGAGGTAATTACATGATTTTTCTCCTTCAGGCCATTATTCATGAAGTGAATTACATTGATTGATTTTTCTGATACTAAATTCCACTTCCATTCATGGAATAAATCCTGTGTGTTCATGATGTATTACTTTTTAATACAGTTGACTTCAGTTAGCTCATATTTTATTTTGGATTATTGCATCTATAATTATAAGGGAATTAGACTCAATTTTTGCTTATATTGTTTTTATCTGGTTCTGGAATCAATATTTCACAAGCTTCATAAAAAGAACTGGGAAACTTTTGCTCTTCTATTTTCTAGAATAACTCTTTCTTAAGAGTTTGGTAGAATTCATCTGAAAAGCAATATGAGCCTAGGACATTTGGGGCAGGGAAGAGATGTCAACTATCATTTCAATTTCTTTAATATTCCAAGTTTTGTTTTTCTGTTTCTTCTGTCCTCCTTTCTACCTTATTCCCTTGTTCATAGATACACCTCAATCCTCACTGCTCCATTCACATATCACATATAGTCTTTATCTTTGAAGATTCTGACTATACTTTAAAGCAAAACCTCAATCTCCTATTTATGAGTTAATTCCTAGCCCCTCATAACACCGTTCCATCTTCCTCGTGCCCTCTGATATCTCTGTGTGTATCTTAGACATTATTTATACTACTTTTATCAGGATTATCTCTATGCATTATTTCCATTTCCACTCAGCAATGGATAATCTAATATCATGTATATAATAGGACCTTTGCCTTGCATGCAGCCCTGTTTTCTCTAAAACCAAAAATTTTGTAAAAGTAGACAACATAATGCTAATAAGGGTCTGGCTTCTTTGTTTTTGCCCTTTCCCTTTATATACAAATATAGAAGGTTAAAAGTTTTGTACATAGAGGCTTGTGCCCTGTATAAACATTCCTCTTCACTATCCAAACCTCACCCCCATTCTATCTCAAGTCCTCATTCACCTCAGTAGAACCCATTGAGCCAGTGGACTGTCTCATCCCTGGGTCTCGACCTCACTCCACAAATGTTTGGGGGGAAGGAATGGGAATGCTGCCAGACCAGACTAGTGAAGAAACCCAGTATCTTCAAGGTAAGACATGGAGGGCAACATCTAAGCTAACTTGGTGAGATTTCTAGGAGGGTTCTTCTTACCCCTCGTGCCCAGTACAGTCTTTCCTTTTCAGGTAGCACTGACCATTCACTGTGATTAAAGATAGTATGAAGTGTTTCTGCTAGCATCAAAGGAAAACAATTCGCAGATTTACAAATTATAGTTCTATTCACTGTTCATCTACTTCTCTAAGAATCTTCTCTTTTCCATAACTAGTGTCAGGACCACAGAGATGAAATACTGTCATTTCCCCCACACCCCAATCAAGGTGCTCATGGTCTGGTAAGAAAATCAGACACATTAGCTGAAACTTAACAACTGATAAGAGCTGTGACAGAACCAAGTTCTAATGACTGAGGAAGGATACAGGGGATCCTCTATGGTGAAGCTCACCTGCAGTCCAGCCCCCTCACTGTCATCAGCACTCAGTCACATGAGCTACCCTAAAAGGAAGTAGGATCTGACCTATGGAATCACAATCCCAGCACACTGTAGCTGTGGGGCTTTGGGAAAGCTGCCTGGTCCTTCTGAGCCTCAGCTTCTTCGTCTATAAAGTGGTGCCAACAGCATTGGCCTCATGTGGTTGTCGTGAGGAGTTAATGAAATGATGTGTGTAGTGTCTGGCATGCAGAAGGGCCCAGGCTACTGGGAGCTGTTGTCTATTGGGTGCCATGACTCTTTGCTTCTGATTGCAGGTGGTAACACCAGATGGACATGGGAGGAACCGAGCTAAGTGGGGCCTGCTGAAGAATATCCAGTCTGCCCTCCAGAAGCACTTCTGAGGCCCTTCAGAGCAGGAAGCAACCTCAGACTCATCACAAAGTAGACATATATACACACACATATGTATGTATATTTTTCTCACCACATTCTTCAAGGAGGTTGTAGAAAAATGTTTCCGTGACCTCTCAGCTTTCCAACAGTAATCTTGTAAGAGCTAATAAAAGGAAATACCTGACATGGCTTGCTGTGTGTTCAGTGACAGCTATTCGTTATGATGGCAGTAATAAGCAAGACAGTCAGTAAGTCTGTATGTTTCCATCTGCTCAGGTCTAGTCCTAGGCTCAGAATTCTGTGGTGTTTTGTAGGAGCACCACCCAGCTTCTGGATGGTAAAAAGAGCACTGTATTTTGCAGTCAGGACCCCCTAGGTGTGCATTCTAATACAGGCCTAACTAGCTTTGAGTGTTTGGGCAAGTCGTTGATTGCCGCAGAATTCATTACCTCACCAGGTAGTCTATTTTAAGTAGCCAACATTAAAATGTTTTTCCTAATTACTGAACTTGAATTTGCCTTTTCACAACTTTCAGCCCATGGTCTGAGGTCTACTCTAAGTCATAAGGAATGAGAGCCCTCCCTCTTCTCCTTCTGGACATAGCAAAGGAAGAACGGTAGAATGCCCAGTTAGAGGATCCGCTATGGTCATTTGAAACAAGGCATGGAAGAATGACAAAATCATGTATAAGCTCCAACCTCACTGAACTGAACTTGGCCTTTCAGACAATATGAAGTCCCTAGAATTTCTTGTCATACAAGGCTCTATCTGCCAGAAATGACCCTCTACTGAACCCCACGCCATTTCTTCCCAGAAAGCACCACCTGTCTTTGAAGACTCAGCTCAACCACTTTCCCCAGTGATCCTCCAAATGAGGATGACACCTTTCTCCCCTGGGTCCCCACTAAGCACAGGGCCCTCCTGTCTCACCCCTATTCCCCATAGAGACACCCATTCCAGCCCTATGATACTTAGGAGCCCTTATTTGTCCTGAGTCTTAGAGCAGAGATGGTGTCTCATTCATCTTCTATCCTCAGTGCTTGGGACAGTGAGGCACACATTACATGTTAGTACCAGGAGGGACACACCACAGCTGAAAGGCTAACACATAGAATGACTCTCCTCTGAACATCCCCAGGTGCCAGTTTGCACATGAAGGTTTACACACAGAACTGGGACTGCCCATGAAAAGGACCAGGCAGTAACTGGTCTCCATTTCCTCTAACGCCATCCTTTTCAGGAGCTGTGCAACGGGCAAATGTGGTCAGCCCATCTAGCTTCACCAGTAAGACTTCAGCTCTGCAACCCTTTATTTTTCATCACTACCAGAAAAGGGCTATTCCACAAAGAGATCCATAGTGAGGATCTTCTGATAATGTGAGAAAATGAAGCCAAGCAGATTCCTGCTCTACCCCCCAGCAGTATTACCACAAGGCATACCCCAGGGAGCTTCATTATGATCCTATTACTGTAAATGATGGCTGGAATCCACCATCAGATTTGATATTACCATATAATCATTTCTATAAAAGGCTTCAAAATCATTATTAGCACAGAGAACGAATTAAATGACACGCCAGCAGGGATTTTACTACTAACGAACTAAAATGAAATTAAACTAAAAAAAAATAGAACTCTATGAATATTACATTGCAGTGATCACACCTACTCATGGTGCCAACAAGAACTAGGCTAGAATTAAATAAACCACAGCACCCTGATCTTGTGTCTCTAGAAAACACCGAAACTTGCGTTCAGTGACCGAGACAGCTAGCTAGAGTCTTTAAGAAGCCCACTTAACCAGTAGCTGACCCATTCTACCAAATGCAATGTGGATTTCTTAATGGCACAGAAACTGCACATTGTTTGGTCCCTGAGGTTATGGTTTACATTGCTTCCCTCCTCCCAGGCCCATGTCTGAGGTGCAAACATATATACGTGTGTGTGTGTGTGTGTGTGTGTATGTGTCTCAAATATAATCAAGAGATTTGTAAGTATATGTTTATTAAAAATTTCACTAGTTGAGCATATTCTCTCTGTATACAGCTACACATTTTAACATCCCTAACAGCCTTTCTTTAGAGAAGTGTCTATGGCCCTAATTAGAGATAATTAGTGGCAGTGTCTACTTGAGAACATCTTGCAGCCTGTTAGAACAGTTGCTAGCTAAATTTGTAGAAGTTTTTCTTGCCCCCCCTTTTTTTTGATAATCATTCTAGATTCATTCTTTCTGTTAGCACATCTGTAATGAGACCAGGGGACTGTGGGGACACAGTGGTGAATTAGAGAGAAACAGTCCACACGCCATAGATGTTATAGTCTAATGAGTAAGATAAAATAAATGAAGATATAAGCATGTAGATGACTGGAAATGAGAAGTACTAGCAAGGAAAGAGGCATGGAGCTAAGAGGTACCAACTCTAAAGAGGATGCCAGTGAAAGTCTTCTCAAAGAGATGAATTACAAGCTGCTTCCTCAAGAATGAGCAGGAGCCAGCCATGTACGAGCAGAGGAGAAAAGCATTTCTGGACAGAGGGGCAGTAGGTACCACAGCCCTGGGGCAGGAAAAGGCTTGGCATGTTCAGGTAACGAATACAGCTAGAGGCTGGAGTTCAGGGAACAAGGAGGGGAGAAAAGCAGGTAAATGGCCCTGGCAGAACTTGTGGGCCATCACAGAGAGTAAGTGTCTCAGGAAGCTGGTGAAGGATGTGAAGCAAAATAACATCACACTTGTATTTCCAGCTTAGTAGCATTACTTTCAGTTCCATGTGAAAATGAGTTGTGGAGGGCCAAAGGAAAAGGCAGGAAGACTGTTAATAAATCAACAGTCACCTGGGCTGGGAGGTGGGCTCCAGAAGGAGTCAGCAGCCCTCTCTGACCAATGGGGTACATGTGAGTGAGTGGGAGAGAGCAATGCTTATGAAGGATGAGGCCTGTGATTCTGGATTAAGCACTGGGTGATGGTAGATCCAGACAGGATAGGATGACAAGTTTCTGGAAAATATCAGAGTTCTGCCTTGGGTGAGTGAAGTGTGAGCTGGAACAGTCAAGCAGAATCAAATAGCAGCAGCTGGATATTGTAACAGTTCAACTGAGTCAGGAAAACAGAGACCACACCAGTTATTTTAAACAGAGAGAACTGAAGATGGGGACTTGGTTAAACAGGTATTATAGGACTTTGAATAGAAAAGGGACACTGGGATAACACAGAGATGGCAGCTGCAGGGAGCTGCTATCACCCCTTGGGCTGGTGGAATGAAAGAAACGGCCTCTTAGATGGGATCCACATCTCTGAGGAGGGGTCACTGCCTGGCTGTTGCAAGTGTATCTGAGAGGCTTTCATGAGGCTGGTTCTAGGAGTGTGGGAAAAAGTTGGAAACTGACAGCAACTGCCATACTGCCAATGCCCAGGAGAGACAATTGCAGTGATGGTGTCCAGAATAGTGAACAAACAGAAAGAAGCTCTTTCCTTCTCCCCCGTTCCAGGCTTGCAGTCTTCCTGTATTCTTCTTGTGTCCCCTCATTGCAGAGCCTAGTGGAGCTAGTTGGCCAAGGAAAAAATGTCATCTGCAAGAGCCCCAGCTCCAGCATTGCAGACTAAGTCCAAAAAAAAGTTTCAGGGTTAAGAGGAAACAGCTTCATAATTAGCACAAGTATGCAAGGCTAGAGCCCAAAGGATAAGCCTGGGATGGGGATACAAACTCAGAAAATATCAGTGGATGTACTCTGATTTTCTAGAGTTCTCATGACATTGAGTGTCCTGACCTCAGCTAGGGTCTGCAGGGTAAACCAAAAAGGCATAAAACTAGTTCTTGTCTTCAGGTGGCTTTCCATATTAGTGCAGTTTGCCTTGCTGTAAAGAAGTACCTGAGGCTGGATAATTTATAAAGAAAAGAAGTCTATTTGGCTTACAGTTCTGTAGGTTGAACATGAAGTAGAGTGCTGACATCTGCACAGGAGAGGGCCTCAGGAATTTTCCAGTCATGGCAGAAGGCCACAGCAAGAGAGGGAGCAAGAGAGAGACAGAGAGAGGCAAAGGTGCCAGGCTCTTTTAAACAGCTGGAACTCACATGAACTGCAGTGGGGGCGCCAAGCCATTAATGTAGGATCCACCCCCATAACTCAAACATCTTCCACCAGGCCCCACTTTCAACAGTGGTGATTACATTTCAACATGAGATTTGGAGGGGACAAACATCCAAACTATATATCATTCTGCCTTTTGCCCCCTCCCCCTGCTGCAAATCTCATTTCCTTCTCACATTGCAAAATACAACCATCCCTTCATAATAGTCCCTTGAAGTCTTAACTCATTCCAGCATTAATTCAAAAGTCCAGTCTCATTTGAGACTCTAGGTAAGCTCCTTCTACCAATGAGACTGTAAAATCAAAAATAAGTTTATTTACTTCCAAGATATAATAGTGGTATAGGCATTTGGTAAATATTCCTGTTCCAAAAAAGAGAAATAAGCCAAAAGAAAGGGGCCACAGGCTCTATACAAGTCCAAAACCCAGCAAGGCAGACAATATACCTTGAAGCTTCAAAATAATCCCCTTTGACACCATGTTTCACATCCAGGGCACAGTGGTGCAAGGAGTGGGTCTCCAAGGCCTGGGGCATCCCTGCCCTTGTGGCTTTGCAGGTTGCAAAACCCCTGGCTGCTCTCATAAGTTATAGTTGAGTGCCTGTGATTTTTTTCCAGCTGAGGGTGCAAGCTGCCAGAGGCTCTACCATTCTCAGGTGTCAGGGGTGTTGGCCCTATTTACACAGCTCCACTAAGCAACGCCCCAGTAACGATTCTGTGTGAGGACTCCAACCCCACATTTCTCCTTTGCACTGACCTAGTAGAGTCTCTCTGTGAGGGCTCCACCCCTGTGGCTGGTTTCTGCCACATCCTTGTTTTCAATACAACCTCTGAAATCCAGGTAGAAACTGCCAAGTTTCCTTCACTCTTGCATTCTGCATGCCTGCAGGGTTAGCACCATGTGGAAGCCCCCAAGGCTTACAGCCTGCACCTTCCAAAGCAGCAGTATGAACTGTACCTAGGGCCTTTTGAGCCACAGCTGGAGCTGGAGCAGCCAGAATGTGGGGAGCAGTGTCCTGAGTCTGAGTAGGCCAGCAGCGCCCTGTGCCTGGCCCCTGCAACCATTTTTTCCTCCTACGCCCCTGGGCCTTTGATGGGA